CAGTTACTTTTATTTAATTGTTAGTTGCAGAGGAAGAAGGAAGTTTCCAAGAAAGTGTCTTCTTATTACCTGCGATTCAGTGTGAAAAAAAAAACCCAAATCTTTGACTTTTGTATCATCACATCACTTTCAAGCAGCCCTTGTTACATCCCCCCTTAAAAATCCATTTCGTCACTGAATGCCCCGAACCAAGTAAAATATCTTCTAATCCACAAATAGACAAAACACAAGACTGCAAATGCAAAGGAGTGGTTCATACTTTGATAACAAAAACAAAATTATATAATTTTATGGAGTTTTGACTTTGCTTTCAGATATGGTTACCAATCAATCTCACTTTCAGAATGAACAAAACATTTCAATCAGAGCTATTAGGAAAAGAAAGTCAACTGACTTAAATAGTAAATTAAGCTGACCATACAAACATTACAAAACGCTCTACTAGAATTTTCAGATGTTTTTTTAATGGGTTTTGCAAAGCCAACAACATGAAGATAAAAAGCTCAAAACTGAGACAAGTCTTATATGATAAAGAGTAAAACGAAATGGTCTTGATAAAAGTTTTAAGCAGCTTGTTGAGCAGCAAGCCTCTTCCTAGCTTCTTCAATGATGGTCAGCTTAATACCTTTGCCCTTTGGAAGAGAAACCCATGGCTTTGTTCCTTTGCCGATGGTGAACACATTACCTAACCTTGTGGCAAACTCGTGTCCTGTAGAGTCTTGGATGTGTATCGTCTCAAAGCTTCCCTTATGCTTTTCACGGTTCTTAATCACACCAACACGCCCTCTGTTTCTTCCACCAGTCACCATCACAACGTTACCCACGTCAAACTTGATGAACTCCACAATCTTGTTTGCCTCAAGGTCTAGCTTGATGGTGTCGTTTGGTTTGATGAGCGGGTCAGGGTAACGGATGGTGCGACCATCGTAAGTGTTCAGGTATGGAATTCCCTTCTGTCCAAACTGGATAGACCTAACCTTGCAAAGCTTGAACTGCACAATGCAACAATACACACATTATTCTTCTGATTCCAATCAATACTGTTACAAGGTTTTGTTCCAACGAAATCAAGATTTACCTTTGCTTCCACGTCACTGACGGAGTGGAGACGGAAACGTCCCTTTGTGTCATACAAAAGACGGAAGTTCTCATTCGTCTTGGGGATCGATACAACATCTATTCAAATTCAAAATGCAACTTAGGCCAGTAATAAAATACAATGTAACAAAAGTACATAACCGAAAAGACAAAAAACCGTACCCATGAAACCAGCAGGGTAGGTCTTGTCAGTCCTGACTTTTCCATCAACTTGGATATGCCTTTGCATAAGGATAGAGATAACCTCACCGTAAGTCAAAGCATACTTCAACCTATTCCTAATGATCAGAACAAGAGGAAGACACTCCCTCGACTTGTGAGGTCCAGAAGACGGCTTTGGAGCCTACAAGAAACAGAGCATAACGAACAACATAAGAAAACACATCCCCAGATAAAAAAAAATATAATGAATGGTCTTGAAAACACACAAGTTTGAGACAAGAAAACGTACGAAGGCACCGCCAAGTTTGTCAAGCATCCAATGCTTTGGGGCATTGAGCCTCTTCAAATGCTTCTTCAATCCTCTGGCCTGCAAAATTACACCAAATCATAAAGCTCAAACAACACATCCTAAAGAGCCAGAGACAAAGTCAATCAATACAACAAAAACATCACATTTTGATAGAGCCTCGTCAAAAGAACATTAACCCAAAAAGCTCAATTTGCAATAAGATTTCGATCCTGCAACATTACAAGTCGGCGTCTTTCCGTAATCGAAACCACCACAACATAGAAGATTACAGTCTACGGTATGAAGCTAGCAAACCTAGAGTCGACATAAACCTAGGGACACTAACACAGTGAATATTCCAATGTCTATCTAGAACTGAGCAAAACAGTGAGTGATACAGAGATCGTAGTTACAGAACAAAGAGAAACTGAGAAGGAAGGGGAGAGATTTGGACGAACCATGTTTGCAGGTGTTCCGGAGCGGACGAGACTTCTGATGCTTCTGCGGCGGCACTTGACGCTTCCCTCTACGATTTATATATCAAAATGAAAAACTAAAACCCTAGAGATGTTCACGTATATATACTATTGGGCTTATTTTGTTAGTACAGGCCCATTTAGCTTCTGAGTTTTACCCAAGGGCCTATATCAAAATATATAGATCCATTTAGTGTAAGAAAAAAATGCGCAAGGCTTGGGACAAAGGTTATATATAATTATATATAGTCAAGG